CATAAAGGATCTTAAGATTATTATATCTCGAAAGAGTTAAAGCACATATTGCAAGACAAAAGGTCCAGGGAGAGGTGTGACTATATTTTTCTGATAAAAAAAGTGTGGGAATTAAATATTATGGAAAGAGATATCTTGTAATTCTCTAGTAAAAGGGAAGATTCGTCCTTTTTCCTATTTATATGAGTTTCTTTGACACGTTCAGCGGTAGTACCACGGAAAAGTAAAAACGGAAGTACGTTCTTTTAAAATTTAAAGATAGTTTACCATTTAAACATTACAGACGGAACTAATACAGAACGTTCCTGTAGCAATTTTTTGTGCTGTATTTACTGTATTTTGTATGACTTCTAGTTAAACAAGAAGTGTCCTCTTTGAAAATAAGTATACAACTGATCCATAATCGAGTTTTGATCGTACTAGTAATTTGTAAAAATAAATCAAACTTTTAAAATCTGAGTCCCAATTACGATGGCACAGTGTTGGCCTTAAATTGAGACCAAATTAACCAGATTCCATTATTTGTATAATATGGTATTTTCAAGATAGTTGCTCATCAAATATCATTCCCAAAAATTATAAGTGTCTACATAAGTTAAGTTCTTTCTATATAACTGAAGATCTAGATTTGTAGAGTGCCTTTTTTGTGAAAATAAAACACACTTGGTTGTAGTTGTAGAAAATTGCAATATCCCAAAGCTTTCCGAGTTTTTAAGGCGATTTAATGCACATTGTAAGTTTTTTTCCCTTTGAATATATTGTATATATATATATATATATATATATATATATATATATATATATATAGAAAAGAAATTTAATCTTTGCAGATAAGTTAAATAGTACACTCTTAAATATTGGGGAAATCTGCAAGAAAACTCTAATGTGTATCAATTGTTTCGCCTAACGTTTTCGCCAAAGAGAATTAATTTGGCTTCTTCAGGGCTGAAAGAGAATAAATTATAATTAGCTACCATATATTATCTAATAAAAAACATTAACCTTACCGTAAATTTTAGAAATGTCGAGTTATGATGTTAAAAAACTTTAGCTAGTAACAACATAGTGGTGTTTTTTAGCACATAGTAACAAAAAATACAATACAATACTAAGATAAACTTTCGGGAAAACGTCAAATCAAGGATCGGCTAGAGATGATATAAGCCAGTTTGGTGTAGAACTTTATTCTAAATGTGAAATTTTCGGTGATAGGCTGTCACCTTCATCAGCACCTAAATGGAAAACCTATTTAGTACAAGTGGTGAAAATCAACAGTTAAAAACTTACATTGAAATTGTTCAGTTGGTCCTCGTGGTAAGGAACACTGTCACAAACATGTTAAAAATAATAAAAAATACATTTAAAATTTTAAATAAAAACACAACACAAAAGGGTATTTTTTTTCAAATACAACACAACAAGAAAATCTAAAATCTAAAACCCCACAAAAACCGCAACGTCATGTTGAGGTAGAAAAGAAGAATTACTGTCAATATCCCGATGACATATGTAACAAGGTTATATTTACATCTGCACCTATTGGATGTTAGAAGAAATCTTTTTAAGAACCAAAATCAGCAGGGAAATGAAGTATTTTCTCAAGTGCAGGTAGGTCATCTGTGTATGTTATGATAAGTTCCCTACATTCTCCAATCTGTTACATCTTGCCAAGTCTTGCTGAAGCCAAAAAAAATAAATACAATTTGAATCTTCAACATCTTTCTTACAGTTCATAGAAGAGCTACAGTTATGGATGTAGCAAATTTCTATGAAATTTCACTTAAATTGGTTGTCAACCCTTTTTAGTACTTGCACATTTTCATAGTTAGCAATGTGTCCAGTATTCTTAACATGTTGGCTAAAAGCTGTGCTAGTAAGCTTCCTCACAACATCACTCTTGTGTAAAGCTATTTTTTTTGAGAGTTTCTGGCTGGTTTGACCGACATACACTTCTGAACAAGAACCACATGGAATAAAATACACTACATTGAAGTTATCTAGTTTTTTAACTCTTTCTGTAACATACTTTACTCATCTGACAGAAAGAGTTAAAAAATTGGATAACTTCAATGTAGTGTTTTCTATTCCATGTGGTTCTTGTTCGGAAGTGTATGTCGGTCAAACCAGAAAGAAACACTCAAAAAGAATAGCTTTGCACAAGAGTCATGTTGTGAGGAAGCTTACTAGCACAGCTTTTAGCCAACATATTAAGAATACTGGAGGGATATTGACAGAAATCAGAAACTTCATCATCAAAAAAGCAGAATAATTCTTCTTTTTTACCGTCAACCTGAAGTTGCGGTTTTTGCGGGTTTTTAGATTTTAGATTTTTTTTTGTTGTGCTGTATTTGAAAAAATACCCTTTTGTGTTGTAATGTTTTTATTTAAAATTTTAAATTTATTTTTTAATATTTTTAACATGTTTGTGACAGTTTTCTTCACCACGAGGACCAACTGAACATTTTTAATATAGGTTTTTAAATGTTGATTTCCACCACTTGTACTAAATAGGTTTTCCATTTAGGTGCTGATGAAGGTGACAGCCATCACCGAAAATTTCACATTTAGAATAAAGTTCTACACCAAACTGGCTTATACCATCTCTAGCCGATCATTGATTTGACGCTTTCTTGAAAGGCGTATCATCAGCATATAATCCCGCCTTAGCAAATTTTGAAAAGTTTTCCAAGATTCTGTTTATCGGTTTTAACAATAGTGTTAATCAGACCCTATAGGTGTTTCATTTGTTTGATCTTTAGGGTTGGATACCATTTATCTTAACTTTAAATTGTCTGTTGTTAAGAAAATTATGAATAAAATATAGCATATTACTGACTAAGTATGTTAAGAATGTCTTATTTTTAAGCAATGCCAAACTCGTTTGTTATATTGAAAAATCAGCAAGACATTCCCGTCCAATTGCAAATAATTTATGTATTTCGGATTCCAAGTCTTTTAAATTATCTATAGTGGATCTGTTTCTGTAAAAGCCGCTTTGTTCATTGATTATTAATTTCTTATTAAACAATATATATAAAACTATGAATAACGGCTTAATGACACATATGTTTATTTTATACCTAAAATTTAGCAAAGTTTTAAACATTATGGAGAACTCCAGTACAGTTTATCGTCCATTTGAGTACAACGAAAGGTTTTCTGCAAATTCCGTTAATCGTTTAGACATGTAAGTTGGTTGAATGTACTGAACCTTCCTAGCACATATATTTAAAATTTATCAGTCTCTCATCGGACTCGTCTCCAGGTGGTATGGAGGACGCACGGATTGAACTGATTTAAGGACTGGTAGGTAGGTCATTAAAAAAATTCCACCCGCGATACAAAACAAACTAAGGTATGGTAACCCTAACAGAAGAATCGCTGGTCCTCTGAGTCTGGGGATTGGGCGTAGGGCTAACGACCCAATCCAACAAAAAAGCATTGTTACGGGAGCTGAAACAACACGGTTGTTTCATGTTATATCATGTTATATCGGTCTCCCCTTACTACGTGTCCAAAATAGGCCATCTTTCTACATTTGATGTTATCAAGCAGCTGGCGAGCAGCATTTGCTCTTTCAAGGACTGCCACATTTGTCAGCATAGCCGTCCATGGAATTTTTAGTATACGTCTGTGCAGCCACATCTCAAAGGCTTCCAGACGATTAATCGTGGATATTTTTAATGTCCATGCTTCGACACCCTATAAGAGGACTGACCAAATGTAGCATTTAACCATGCGCTTTCGAAGTTGAAATTGCAAGTTATCATTACAGAAGAATGACCTCATTTTTAAAAATCTCGTGCGGGCTATCTCGATTCTACATTTTATCTCTTGATCTGGATCTAGTTGTTCAGTAATATGGCAACCAAGATATTTAAAACTGGACACTCTTTGAATTATATGACTATCAACATATAATCGTGCATCTTGATGTGCTAAACGGCTAAACACCATGTGTTTTGTTTTTGGACAGTTTATGTTTAGGCCAAACTCTCTTCCCACTTTAGTAGTAGTAGTACTTTAGTAGAGTATCATTTATACCTCTCAAATGGTGTTTATCACATATTTGAAGAAAAATAAATAAAAATTCTATTTAAAATTTACTCTTTATATATTTCTTTTAATCTGTTCTCCTATAATATTTCAATTTTATGAGTTAATACAGTTTAGCTCTGAGGTACAGATAGACTTTTTGGTAATACAGATATCGTAAGAACCATCAAAATAAACCGTCTATGATGGGTGGGTGATGTTATGCAAATGGATGAAAGTGAATCTTCTAAAATAGCCATGCTAAATAGGCTGGTCGGAAGAAGACGAAGGGGGCGACCTAAACTCAGGTACCTGCACAATATGTAGGACGATTTAAAGGAGATTGGATGGATAAGGCGATGGAGAAGACCTCACGAAGGGCTGCAGGGCCAACTAATGATAACTTACATTTTATTCTTGCTTTAGGTACATATATGAAGTATTAATTTCTCTAATCTTTTATTCTTCCCTGTAAATTGAAATTATTTTGATTCTTGCAATGAAACTAATTTACACTCATACAATTATGCAAGAATAAAAAGAGCCTACTTTTTAAGTATTAGTTTATAAAAATTTCACGCAATTTTGGCAACGTCAAATTTATTAAAAGGGTCCTTTTTAAGAAAGCTTGTGCCAAAAAACCAATTCAGAATATTTTTCCTGTGCAGTGGCCTCCTGGACTATTGACTACTCTACTATTGACATTATTGCAAATCTTTGCAATATATCACATTTTAAGAACTCTGAAATTTCTAAATCATGAATTTTTACCTCTCTACAATTATTAAACTATCAATTGTTATAACTAGGTCCTTTTAAAAACATTATGTGCGTGCATACAATTAATAATTTTCTATTAAATAGTTATTAACGAAAAAAAATTAGACAAACTAGCCTTGAACGTCAACGCTGCTCATATATATGTTTAAAGTTTGGTGATTTGTTGAATAAGATGTATTAAATACTGTCAACGGGGACTACAGTGAACAATAATAATTATGAGCTCTACGATAAACTTTGGTATAGCAATCAGTGTGGCATTTATTGCATATATATTTTTATTCAATGTAAGTTTTATTTATTATATTATTATTACATAATTTATTTATTTCGAAAATTTTCACAATAAATTGTATACATTATATTTAGTAGCAAAAGTCCGTTATTTTTTTTTTATATCTGTTTTGACTTGGTCATGAAACCTTAACTCAGTGTCACTTTTTAAAGATTTTATGAGATGGATTACTCCTCTTAGGTTTTTATAGTTTTGGTATATTTTATACTCTTATTCCTGTATTTTTTTCTTCAATCTTTATTAGTTTCTTTTTATACAGCTCCGTCAAACAAACTTTCAAAAAAACTGTTAGAGATTATTTTAAAACACAATTTTCACCTAAATTCACCGTTAAAATAACATAATAACTAGGGTAAAAGCGCCAATAAATCAATAAATTAACATGTAAGGATAAGTTTTGTAGTTTTATAATAACATACACATATTTCAGTAGTCTTTGTGGAAGTTTCTAACACAGAAATAATGAAATTATTATATGCTAATTGCCAAATATGTTTTTATTATACTCATTTTAAGTTACTGTACAAAAAATCCAAAATACCAGTAAATGAACAGCAGAATCTAATGAATAAATAACACATATCCAGTAAATGAACACAACTTGTAGATACATATTGTGAATATTATAATTATGTATTCATTACAAATATAGAAATATGTATACCATTTGTATTTTACATCGGTATTAATTTTTTCCCTTACATTGGACAAAAGTTATATTTAACCCTCTAGCATTCACTTTTTTAGGTTCTGCAATATTGAAAAAAATGTTTTCTGAGGAATACCATATTTGATCTGCAGTTTGGGACCATTTCCACAATTTTCCACTGGAAGTTTGGACCATTGTTGTTACTTTATAGTCACTACTATCTTTATGGGTAATTTTTCCTTGAAAATGTTGACCATCATATTTTACCATAACAAAATCACCTATTTCAAACATTACTATCAGGCAGAATTATTTCTTCTTCACTTACTAATTCTGTTTGAATATTTTGTTTAATGCCTTTTTTTTACGGGATCAAGCTTGTTGTTGTTTTTCTTTTCTTTCAATTTTTGTTTTTGTTCTCTCTTTGTTATCATAATAGTTTTTCCATTCCTTAGATATCAGTGCGAAAGTCATTGCTGCTTTTAATTTGATTTTATGTCCAGTTTTTTTCACTCTTGGCCAATGTAAATGTTTCGTCCATATTTCGTTTTTACCTTGAACAATATTTTTAATCCCGTCATTAGAAATTTTATTTTGTACAATTTTTTGTATTTCCTCCTTTCGATTATTTATATTTTCTTTTAAATATATTTATGGGCTCCTTTTTACCACAGACTAACTTTATATTAGATAAAATATTTATACATATGCCTGTAATATTCTTTTCATCTTTTTGGCTATCAGTATTGTTATTAGTTTTATCAGTATCATCGGCAGTCTTTTTGTTCTCGTCATTTCCCCTACTTTCAGCAACCATAATTTCATGAGTTTTAGATTCTGCAACTTTAACAGAAACTAATCTTATATCTTTTTTTCCATCTTCTGTCGAATAAGTCCAGCTTTTTAATTTGCTTTCATACAAAGTTTTAATAAATTCTTGAGACTGAATATATTTATATTCGATAGTTTCCTCACCTAGAGCTATTTTTTTTTTAACTCAGATTCATTGATTTAAACTTCTTTATCTTCTATTTCATTCTCCTAAGCTTGAATTATGCTAATGTCTTGTAATTTGTTAGCAATAAATTCTGTTACTTCTTTTATTCCTATATCTTTGTTTGTACCAAAATAGATAATGTCATCGAATTGGATAGGCAACTGGTCCATAACTGATTCCGTTAAATTAAGTAAGGGTACAGTATCATTTAAGATACTGTTTCCAGTTTGATTTGTACAAAATTTGTCTACAGTGCGAATGTCACTTGTTTCATCGTTACATGGATCATTAAAAAAGAATTATGGGTGCTAATGAAATCCTGATTGAAAGGTTCCTCGGCTGGTTCTAATTCATTAGGGTTTATGTTTACCTTATTTCTAAATATTTCGTTTTTTCTGAATGATATAAGTTTGGTGTAGATGACGGCGTTGGGGTATAACGGATAAACTGCGCTCGGGTCTAAAGCGAAGCGTCATTATTCAAATGCTCTTTGAAATATTGTATTTTGTTTTCAATTATCCAGGAACAAAAACAGTTTCCGATGTATTCATAAAATGTCTCTGATGCCATCCAGCTAGAATCAGATTTACCTATGAAAAAATTATTAGGCATAGACATAGCCACATCTCTCGCAAGTCGTTTTTATATGGTACAATTACTAGAGGAGGGGCAGAAACTCCAGATGCTAAAAAATTGCAGAGCACAGTAATACTCTCTTTCCCCACTACTTATGTTGTAGAAATCGTTGAAACCCTTTGGTGCTAAGAGCTTGTCTGTCTTTGGACAAAACTGTACACCAGTTTCGTCAGCATTATAAATTATTATTGGTTCTTGTCTTCACAGCCCTCGTTGTTATAAAGGTAATCTCTTAGACAGTCAAACCAATTTCTTATAGACTCTTCAGTAACTGAAGCCCTTATCATTAGAGATAATTTTAGTAGTTCGTTTCGCAATAGCTGGCCTTTAAAGGCTTCAAAAGCAAAAGCTTTGGCCATTTCGCAAAAAAAGCTGCAACCACTTTTTTCTTGGTTCACAACTAGTTGTTATCAACAGGTCCTCGAAGACACTTTGTCTCAGGACCATTTTACCTATGTAGGGTCATACGTCGCCATGTTACCAATTCCAGCGGTAACTTAAACATCATAATTTGTAACCACATATAATGTAAAGCAACTGTAAATTTATATCATTTAAAGGGTTTTGACCCATATATTTTGGTGGCTCATAGCATGTATACCTCGTTTACACTGATGATGGATTTAACAATCCGAAAACTTTTTGTAATATATTTATAATAGCCCGTTTGGGCATTTTATTATATACTTTTTTTAAAGGAGATAAAAAGAGATGAAATAAATTTTTTGTGATATATGGTATACAGCCAACTACAGGAACTTAGATTCCTAGTGGATTTTTTTAATTTTTTGTGTTCATTAGATATTATTTAAATTGGTTAGTGTATAGTTTAATATATTTATTATTTCAAATATTGTTGATGATAATTTAAAATTTAAAAGGATGTATATGATACATCCAAATCTACAGATTTTTGCTGAAGGTATTTACCGATTTGGCAACAGTCCCAAGGAACATCACTGGCCGAGCAAAACAAATACATATGCCCTTTGCTTCTCATTATAACGCCATAAGTTTAAATAAAAGTAGTGTTTGTGTTTGGTAAGGTGCGCATGTGCCCAGCAGTCGAAAATATCGACTGGAGAAGGAGTCCAGTCGAACAAATTAATTAATTATAAGACATCGCGACGTTATATTGAAATTTACACTGGGTAATTGCAGGACAGGGGATCTTAGTAATTGTATTCAAAATCCCTATGTTCCGTCTTAAATTTTCCAAATGTGTATATATATATATATATATATATATATATATATATATATATATATATATATATATATAATAAATACTGGATATTAGTGACTGTCGATTTAAACAAACAACAAAGTTTATTAGGTCTGCAGTCAGAAGTTTGGCCGGGATGTTACAGAAACACTCTAGCTTTCGGAATTGTTTAATTCCTTTTTCAAGATACTGTAATTAGAAAAATGTGTAAATACTTACAATATATCACAAAATGTCAGTGCAACTTACTAGTCGTTGAGATTATTTGTATAAAGCGATGACACTCAACATTAATAACACACATATAAAATAGAGCATATAAAATAATGGACAAAATACATTTTAAAATTTAGTTAAGGATAGTAAAAATTCGTTTGTGACATCTTTTAATTGTGTGTTTTGACTGATGAATGGTGTGTTCTTCATATTTTATATTAATAGAAAGTAATATATTAAACCTGTGTTGATGGTATACAACCTGTTTTGCATGCAGGTGTATTTTGGCAAGGGAAAAAAACCATTCTAAACGTGTTTACTTGAAAATGTGTTTTATAAAATCCAATACGTCTTGTATAAATAAAAAGTCTGATATAGATAAACTGAGTAACATTTATTGTTATTTACTGACAAAACATCAAAAATGAAATAAAGACTTACTAGTACATATACACCACAATACACCTGCATGCAAAACAGGTTGCATACCATCAACACAGGTTTAATACATTCATCATCATCATCATTGTTCCTCAACCTCTTGCATCCACTGTTGGATATAGGTCTCCTCTATGTTCTTCCACTGTTCTCTATCTTACGCCTTCTGTATCCAATTTCCGACTGTTTTTCTCAAGTCGTCCATCCATCTTTTTGGTGGTCTGCCTCGTTGTCTTTTGTCTTCTCTAGGTCTCCATTCTATGAGTCTTTTGGCCCATGTCCATTTGGCTTGTGCAATTTTTTCTATGACATCTGTCACTTTAGTTCTCTCTTTCACTATCCTATTTGGTACCATATCTCTTCTAGTTATTCCCAACATTGCTCTTTCCATTTTTATTTCTGTTACTCTCAATTTATTTGCAGAATGTTTGGTTAAAGTTATTGTTTCGGAACCATATGTTATTACTGGCAGTATGCATTGGTTGTAAACCTTTTTCTTTAAGCAAATCGGTAGCGTTCCTTTTAGAATATCTCGCATCTTGCCAAATGCTGCCCATCCGAAGCCTATGCGACGCTGGATCTCACAAGTTTGATTGTCTCCTATTCTAATTTCATGCCCTAAATATATATAGCTAATGACCTGATGTACTTCGTTCCCATCTACCCTCATAACATGACTTGGAACTAAACTGGTCCAGTGTATCCAAATCTATAATACATTACTTTCTATTAATATAAAATATGAAGAACAACAAATAAATTTGTAATAATACTATTTTTGTTTTTTTTTTCTTTTATTCTATATGGATCAGTCAAAACACACCATTAAAA